TGACCCCCTCCCCTCCCCCGCGCGCCCGAGAGAGGCGACAGGAAGGCCGCTTCCAGTGGATTCCTGGAACAAGTCTTTATACGTTTGTATGTGATGTTTTGGTTTTGTATCCACGGATGTCATGGTTGCTCATGTTGGATTGGAGCTTGGGATATTCGATTGTTGGTTGGTTTGAAACTTGGGATCTTCGACTGTTGGTTTGTATCCACGGATTCCATTGTTGTCAATGCTGGTTTGTAGCGTGATGGTTGTGTGTTAAGCGTAGTTCGTTGCGGTTTCAGTTTTGATGTGTACCAGTTATGTTGTTGAGGTTTCATATATTTTTTGTGACGGCTCCTTTTTAGACATCACGTCATGGTCCGTGAGTGTGACCGTGTTGTTTTATGGTGCGCCTCGTGATTGCTTTGTTCGACTTATTCCCAACCCTCCTTGGTTGGGTATTCGTTTTGAATAGAGGGGTGTGGTCGCGTCCTCGTCCCGCCTCCCGCCTCCTCTGCGAAACTGTCGCCACTTTCGAGGGCTGCTGGTGGGTCCTGCGGAGTGAGGCACCGCGCGGATCTGAGCAAGACCTCGCCGAGCCTGGAGGGGCTGCGATCTGCGAAACTGTCGCCACGTTCGAGGGCTGCTGGTGGGTCCAGCGGAGCGAGGCACCGCGCGGATCTGAGCGGGACCTCGCCGTGCTTGGGGGGGCTGCGATCTGCGAAACCGTCGCCACTTTTCGAGGGCCGCTGGTGGGTCCAGCGGAGTGAGGCACCGCGCAGATCTGAGCGAGACCTCGCCGTCCCTGGGGGGCTGCGATCTGCGAAGCTGTCGCCACTTTCGAGGACTGCTGGTGGGCCTTGCGGAGTGAGGCACCGCGCAGATCTGAGCGGGACTTCGCCGTGCTTGGGTGGTTGCGATCTGCGAAGCTGTCGCCAATTTCGAGGGCTGCTGGTGGGTCCAGCGGAGCGAGGCACCGCGCAGATCTGAGCGAGACCTCGCCGTCCCTGGGGGGGGGGGTGCGATCTGCGAAGCTGTCGCCACTTTCGAGGGCTGCTGGTGGGTGCAGCGGAGTGAGGCACCGCGCAGATCTGAGCGGGACCTCGCCGTCCTTGGGGGGCGGCGGTCTGCGAAACCGTCGCCACGTGCGAGGGCTGCTGGTGGGTCCAGCGGAGTGAGGCGCCGCGCGGATCTGAGCGGGACCTCGCCGTGCTTGGGGGGCTGCGATCTGCGAAGCTGTCGCAACTTTCGATGGCTGCTGGTGGGTCCAGCGGAGTGAGGCACCGCGCAGAACTGATCGGGACCTCGCCGTCCTTGGGGGGTTGCGATCTGCGAAGCTGTCGCCACTTTCGAGGGCTGCTGGTGGGTCCAGCGGAGTGAGGCCCCGCGCGGATCTGAGCGGGACTTCGCCGTCCCTGGGGGGCTGCGATCTGCGAAGTTGTCGCCACTTTCGAGGGCTGCTGGTGGGTGCAGCGGAGTGAGGCACCGCGCGGATCTGAGCGAGACCTCGCCGTCCCTGGGAGGCTGCGATCTGCGAAACTGCAGGCAGATCTGAGCGGGACATCGCAATCCTTGGGGGGTTGCGAGCCTCCCCAATGCCGATCGCAGAAGTATATGCGCTCATGTCACGTCATCACCTCCGTATAACGTCTCCCAAGCTACTCACGCCCCGCATTGCGCAGGGGTTGGGTACGTCGCAATGGTAATATTTCTTGATGCAGACAGGTCTACACAGAGACATGGAATAGTTCGGATCGATTGGAGCGGGCCTTGAAGTTCCTCCTCCTCCTCCTCCTCCTCCTCCTCCTCCTCCTCCTCCTCCTCCTCCTCCTCCTCCTCCTCCTCCCCCTCCCTCCTCCTCTCCTCCCTCCCTCCTCCCTCCCCTCCTCCCTCTCCTCCTCCTCCTCCTCCTCCTCCTCCTCCTCCTCCTCCTCCTCCTCCCTCCTCCTCCTCCTCCTCCTCCTCCTCCTCCTCCTCCTCCTCCTTCCTCCTCCTCCTCCTCTCCTCCTCCTCCTCCTCCTCCTCCTCCTCCTCCTCCTCCTCCTCCTCCTCCTCCTCCTCCTCCTCCTCCTCCTCCTCCTCCTCCTCCCTCTCCTCCCTCCCCCTCCTCCTCCTCCTCCTCCTCCTCCTCCTCCTCCTCCTCCCTCCTCCTCCTCCTCCTCCTCCTCCTCCTCCTCCTCCTCCTCCTCCTCCTCCTCCTCCTCCTCCTCCTCCTCCTCCCTCCTCCTCCTCCTCCTCCTCCTCCTCCTCCTCCTCCTCCTCCTCCTCCTCCTCCTCCTCCTCCTCTCCTCCTCCTCCTCCTCCTCCTCCTCCTCCTCCTCCCTCCTCCTCCTCCTGTCCTCTTCCTCCTCCTCCCTCCTCCTCCTCTCCTCCTCCTCCTCCTCCCCTCCTCCTCCTCCTCCTCCTCCTCCCCTCCCCTCCTCCTCCTCCTCCCTCCTCCTCCTCCTCCTCCTCCTCCTCCTCCTCCTCCATCCCCCTCCTCCTAGGCAGAGGCACGTCGACCCCCAGCCGCCCCATCGATCGCCAAAACAAACAAAAAGGGCCCGACGGCCCCGCGCGCCCTGGAAAAAGACAGCGCGGCGCCACACCACCTCGGGGGCATGCCCCGTCGGCGCGCACGGGGGGGGGAGCCTCGGGAGCCTTGATTGGTGGTCCCCAAACGTGGTGGTGAGAACACCCGGTGGTGAGTTTTGGGTAATGTTTGTCGAGCGCTGGCTGGCCCAGGAAACGCAAAACCTCGCGGCGACCGCGTATCCCCAAACCCGGTGGCGACCCAGAATTATTTTTTGGGGGAATCGGGGTCACCACCGGGTGTCTCACCACCTGGTTTGGAGACCACCAACTTGAGATGGGGGGGGGAGCTCGGGAGCCTTGAAGAGGGGGTGTGGATTAGCGGCGGTCTCCGTTGCCACTGGACATCGCGGATTCCCTCCGCTGGGCGAGGCGGCACCAGCCGCACTCTGGGGAGGGCACCTTCCCCGATACTTGGCTTCGGCGACCGCGCGCCAGATCCTGGATCGCTACTCCGCGCTTGCACGCCCCGACATCTGAGAAGCTGTCCGAGCCTTCTCGGGAGACATCTACAGCACCTCTCAGGAGGCCGGCGGGCGCCGGAGAAATCCCGCCGCCTTCTGGTCGGGAGCCTTGAGACGGGGGCCAATGCAAACGAGGGTCAGCCAGAGCACCTGATCTTGCAGGATCCTGCAGGGCCAGGGGCGCACTGACCCGGGTTCGGGTGCAGGATCCTGCAGGATCCTGCAGGATCCTTCGCGTTGACCCAGGCTCGGGTGCAGGATCTTGCAGGAGCTTGCAGGATCCTGCAGGTCCGACTGACCCAGGTCTGGATTGACCCAGGTCAGAAGATCCCCGATCTGGGAAGGCCTCCTCCCGCTCGCCTCCCCGCCGAGTATCCCTCCATCGGCGCACCTCTTCTCCGTCTTGGTCGCGCGGGGCAGCGACGGCTCGGGCGCCTCGCTGCGCCGGTCGCGGCCCATCTGAGGGCTGCCTGTCTGGGTTCAGTCCGAGACAGGCTCGCGTCGGGGAGGATCGAGGAGGATCGGGTATCGAGGAGGATCGAGGGTCGAGAAAGCAGGACGGGAGGTGTTTCTTCGTTTTTGGCCTCTCGGGGCCCTCGTCGGGCCCCGGGACTGGCACAAGACGACGCGGGATGAGAATCTGGACCCGGGGAAAGTCGGGCCGGACGAAAGGGGGGGATTGGGAAAGGGGGGGGGGTACGAAATTTGCTGCATGCAGCTGGTTTCGGCCTCGCCGAGGGACCCATTCCTCGATACATAGCCGCCTCCGGCGCCGGGAGGCGCCGGGAAAATCAGCTACGTGAGCTGATTCTCAACCCCCCCCTTTGCTATCCCCCCCTTTCGCCCGACCCGAGAAAGGGTCGGGACTTCTGGGGACCGCGTATTGCAAGAATCAGGACGTCGCATGTTTGGGGTGGCCATTTTATGGCCCTGCGCGCGTTAGGTAATTTAGTCGCGTCCGCGGCCCGTTCGCGACCTTCCGCCGCTGGCGCTTCCGCCTGCGGCTGTAAAAAAAAGGGGTGGCCAGGACTGGCTCCGACTGCCGTCCGCGGCAGGGGGGCTCACCGTGTGCCCTGTGTTCGTTGTCCAGCGGGCAGGGCGTGGGCCTTTTGCTGCTGTGCGTCCGGCGTGTGTGGGGTTGGGTCGGGCCTGTCCCTCTACAGGGGGGAACATCAAAAAAAAATCAAAAAATAGTCGGGGGAATATGTTTGAGTATGTTTTGGCCATTGGGGGATTTTGCTTTCAGTCTTTTTATTTTTCGTCGAAAATCCCCCTGTCGGGGGACAGGCCCGACGTAAGTGTGGAGTTCATGGCCAGAGAAGGGGAGGACCGATCAGAACCCGCCCGTTGGAGCCCGAATCATAACTTCTTGTGTATTCATTGAGGGACTTTGACGGGTCCTTCTGTTCCCATCGTAGGCCCTCTTGAACCGTATCGATACCATCTTGAGGCCTTCGCGGGGGCCCATCGGGAGCCGCAGAAGCGAGTAAACCAAAATCCATTGGTTGTTCAATGGTGCTGGCCTCCACGGCAGGCTCGGGGGATATCTTAGAGTCATCTTGGCGCTCCCTTGGGAACACTTGGAGACATGATGGAGGCCGTCGTGGGACACTTCGGACAACGCTGCGCCATCTCGGAGGCAATATGGGTATGGGCCACATGGGAAACATGGTGAGTCATCTTGGACGGTCGAACCCGTTGGGGCATACGCCTGTTCAGACCTTGGGATGGGGGAGGGGTAGACTGCACCCGAAGGAGACGACGGAACGGCTTGGGAAGAGGCGACTTGCGAATCCATTCAACTATGTCCAGAGCAGATGGCAAGTGTGATTCTTAAGACACGGTGCATGGAGCGTGGCGGCTGTGGTCGGAAGCAGGCTTTGTGGCAACTCGTGGTGAGAGATCGCTCCCTGGCGCTTGCGTCAGACAAGCGTGGATGCTGAAGCATAGAGGCCCCTAGATGTGGGGCATTCGCCTCCCAGCCAGGACCCTCTGCTGCTTGACGACGGCCGGAAGTGCCACATCAAGGCGCGCTGCAGCTCGATGCACGGGCAGCCCTGGGTTGCCCAGTTAATTAGATCTGCACCCATCGACCCCAACCTCTCTGCACCTCACGCTTCAGCTTTGCGGTGACAGCTCCTCTCGTCGTCGTCGTGTCGTCGATATAGAGGAGGGAACTTCCCACCTTCGTTGCGCTCGACTGTCGTTTTTGCCCCGCTTTGGGTGTCTGAACGGCCCAGGGTGCGTGTGTCGCAGCCTGCCTCCTCCGTTTCTTCGCTCCCCTTCTCTGTTTCCATACTCCTCCGTTTCCTTGGCTCCCTTTTCTCCCTTTTCTCCCTTTTCTCCCTTTCTCTCTCCCTCTTCTCTCCCTTTCTTTCGCTCCCTTTCTCTCTCTCTCTCTCTATTTCCCTCTCTCGCTCCTTTCCCTTCGCTCCTTTCCATCTCCTTCCTCGCCTCCTCCCCCTCCTGTTTTGCTCCAGCGCAGGGCGCAGAGGGCGGGAGGGACAGCGGGGCAGGGATCAGAGGGGTCGGGCCTGCGCTGCCACCTCGGAAGTGAGCCCAGACCTCGGGCGCCGCAGTGGTGTCGGAGCCCGGGTCCCCCAGGGGTGCGGACCACATCACCGGCACGAGTCCTCCAGCCCTGGCCGTCCGTGGGCCGCGGGCGCGGGCGAGGGCCCCCCGAGCCCGAAAACGGGCAACCCATTGTCCGTCTGCACGGCAAACCTCGGCGTCGGCGTCGGCATCGGCATCGTCGTCGTCGTCGGCGTCGGCGTCGTCGTCGTCGGCGTCGGCGTCCGCGTCGTCTTCCGTCGTCTTTCGTCGTCTTCCGTCGTCTTTCGTCGTCTTCCGTCGTCGTCCTCGTCCTCGTCGTCGTCGTCGTCGTCGTCGTCGTCGTCGTCGTCGCGCGTCTCCGTGGCGCGAGGAGGCCTCGGCGATGGCAGGGGAGGGCGCTCGGCGAAGGCGGCCCGCCTCTCCCCGAGACCCCTGGGGCGCCCCCCTCTCCTCACGCCGGGCGTCCTCGCCCTCTGGGCCCTCAAGGGTCCCATACCCAGACCCCCTCGCGTCGGGAGCAGATCACGACGGGAGGCTCTTCGCCATCTTCGGCCTCTCGGGGCCCTCGCCGGCCCTCGGGAGCGTCGGGCAGCGGCTCGGGACGAGAGGCCGGTCCCAGGGAAGGGGTCCAGGCCCCTCTGGGGGTCGGCGCCGCGGAAGCAAAAAGGCACGGCGGGGGGGGGGGGGCCTGGGACCCCCGCCTCCCATGTATGCAGAAGTTTTTTTTGACCGTAGACATTCAGGAGGGAAGAAACACACAGACACAATGAATCGCCGATTCCCCCGAAAATATGGGGAAATATGGGAAGTGGGGGGGGGGAGAGAAAAACTCAGAAAATATAGGAGAATCCTGTTATTAGTGTGTGTATTTATTTGTGTGTCCCAGGGCCCCTTCAGACGGCTTGGCTCAAGCCCCTCTCCTGGGGCGTCGCGCGGCCCTCCTTTCTCTGCCGCGTGCCGAGAGCGCCCCATCCCGCCGAGCGGTCGGGTGGCGCTGGCCACAGCGCCTTCCGCCTTCATCGCATCTCCACATCCGGTTATTGCGAATGGCCAGCCTGTTTTTGCGCTTGGCGGTGCGTTTCGCTCGCCGCGTTCGCAGCGCCACTGCAATGGCCAGCTGCGGCGACGGCTGTTGACATTCAGCTGCCCGATGGCGTGTCGAGTATCAGTGGTGGGTACTCTTACTGCGCGACCCACGCTGGAATGGCGACCTTCCCTGTGAGTACAGGTGGCGCAGCGGGCACGACAGAATGCAGGGAGGCTTGCGACGCATCCGCAGCGTGCAGCGTTTACGGGATGTATGGAGCGTTGGACGGAGTTTCTATCACACACGGCCGCCCTTCCTGTTCTCTGACTGCCCCACGCAAGCCGACGTGACCGACGTGGCGTATCAGACGACGCATGCCGGCGCAATATTTCGCAGGAAGCAGGAGGCCAGCTCCATTGGTACCAGCAACAGCGCAGCAAGCAGCACAACTGTGACCACCAGTTCTTGGACAACCAGTACCACTCGCAGCAGCATCAGCGCGTCCAGTAGCACCTCCGTGACAACAACTTCTGTGACCAGCAGCACAACGCGCAGCAGCACCAGCGCAACCATCAGCACCACTGCGACCACCACGACCGAGACTAGCAGCACCACTGCGACCACCATCAGCGAAACCAGCAGCACCACTGTGACCACCACGACTGGCACCAGCAGCACCACGCGCACCAGCACCAGCGTAACCAGCAGCACAAGTGTGACCACCACGACTGGGACAAGCAGTACTACTCGCAGCAGCACTAGCGCTATCAGCAGCACTTCTGGGACCAGCACCAGCGCTACCAGCAGCATCACTGCTACCACCACGACTGAGAGCAGCAGCACCACTGCTACCAGCACCAGCGCGACCAGCAGTACCACTGTGACCACCACAACCGGTACCAGCAGCACTACGCGATCCAGAACCAGCGCTACCAGCAGAACCACAGTGACTAGCAGCACCACGCGCACCAGCACCAGCGCAGCCAGCAGCACAAGTGTGGCCACCACCACTGGGACAAGCAATACCAGTCGCAGCAGCACCAGTGCATGCAGTAGCACCTCTGTGACAACAACTGCTGCGACAAGCAGCACAACGCGCACCAGCACCAGCGCAATCAGCAGCACACTTGCGACCACCACGACAGAGACTAGCAGCACCACTGCGACCACCACTAGGGACACCAGCAGCACCACTGTGACCACCACGAGGCCGCCTTGTGAGCACCGAGCAGGGCGGCGACGCCCACAGGAGGACGTTCGATTCTCCATCATCACATCCGGCATGAGTCGGGTCGTTTTCCGTGCTGTTTCGAGTGCACGCTCCACCTTGCGCTGAGCTCCGCGGGGCGGCCACTCCTAGGTCTCCGCACAAATCCTTGCATAGAACTTGCATCGGTGTTTACACCGACGTTCGCATGGATTTTCGGCCCGTGGTTGCTGCCGTGGACATGTATACTGGCAAATATTCCTCCTCACTGCTCATTCCCTCGTCCCTCCTCCTCATCCTCCTCTTCCTCCTCCTCCTCCGCGACCTCCTCCTCCTCCTCCTCCTCCTCCTCCTCCTCCTCCTCCTCTCCTCCTCCTCCTCCTCCCTCCTCCTCCTCCTCCTCCTCCTACTCCTCTCCTCCTACTCCTACTCCTACTCCTACTCCTACTCCTACTACTCTCCTCCTCCTCCTCCTCCTCCTCCTCCTCCTCTCCCTCCTCCTCCGTAGCCATTTTGGCTCAAGATGTCTGCTTTGCGTAAGCAGGGCATGGATACCGCTAGTCCGCGGCCAGTTTCCATATCGCGCGCTGCCCCGGCGCCCGCTCACCGCGGCCGCGGTTCATGGCGCCCACTGTGGCAGGTGGGCGGCGAAAGAAGAAGAAGCTCCCTGGCGATTCTCGTGGCAGTGTCGCTCGCCATGATGACGACGGCGCAGAGGCTCGTGAAGACCGCGCAGAGGATCGATCTCGTTCCAGCAGATGCGGCTCTGATGAGGAAGAGAATCATGACATGGACCTCAGCGGTTGGGACGACCACATCAAGGGCCTCATCGACGGCCACATTCGCAGCACGTTCCTATCATTCAAGAATGAGATCACAGGTATGATCGCATCGACAACATCTTCAGCAGCAACACAGGCCGTCGACCCCGTCATGGCAGCGATCCGCGCTGTGGAGGAAGCTGTCAAGAGCGTGCCAGCCACATGCCAGCAGAAGGTGGAGGCAGCCCTTCGTCCAGAGCTGGCAGCGATGGAGCGGAGATTTCAGTCGCAGCTTGACGGCCTCTCTGCCAGAGTCACCAGCTTGGACTCGCGCACAGACAAGATGCACGATGAGCTTGGTGACATGCGTAAGCAAATGGATGATCTTCGACAAGCCTTGGCACTCGCACATCGTGTACCTCCACCACCAAAGCCGCCTGCTGTCGGATTTCAGAGGGAAGTGGATGCGACGGTGCTCAAGATTGTGGCAGCTACGATGGTCAAGCGCACAGACGTCCACGACTCCATCAAGGCGTGGCTTGACAAGTCAAAGATTGAAGGATGGGAGATTCAAGGAGAAGAGCAAGATCGCTCGCTTACTCTGCAGTTCACAGGTCCTGTCGCTGTCGCAGGTCGGCGGGCCGCTCAGGCGCTCGGAGCATTGCGTCTTCCTGGCAAAGGCAACTGGATGCGCTTCCCAGTTCCTGCAGCTTCGGGGGGGTCGACGCAACTTCACGTTGGTGCTGACAAGAACCCGTTCCAGATCAAGAGAGAGATCGCAGGGAAGAAGATCACGGCAATTTTGCGGGAAAAGTATCCCGATGCCAAGCTGTTCTTCGATCGCCAGAATGGGTGGATTTCGGAAAGCTGGAATCCGATTCTTCGGCTCGAGCCACAGCCAGGACAAGAAGCGACTAAATGTTACTGGAACGATGCTGCCCTTGCTACGAGAGGGTGGACTAGGGATGAGATCAAGACCGCTATCAATCACATCATCGTGCCCAATGGCGAGCCCGAGTGGAGTCTTTAGCAACTATGACGCGCTGTTTCGATCGAAGGTTGAAGGTGGGCAGTCGCCGAAGTCAGCTCACATATCGTTCTGTACCTGGAATGCCAGGGCCTTCTTACGGTGGCGTGGTGCCCAGGCTATGGCGAAAGCCTCGTACCTTCATCAAGCTGGGATCACGAATGCCATCTTCGCCATTCAAGAGGTGCACCAAACCCTGGCGGAGTTCCAGTTCGTCATGTCGCGTATTGCCCCGTCGTCCTCAGTTTTTGGATCATTTGAAGCAGCACGGGATGGTCATCGACGTGGTGGCGTGGCGACAGTAGTCCCTCTCGCGCAGGATGCTGGGGTCGTTGCTCATCCGCTAGCTCTTATTCCTGGGCGTGTATTGCGCTTGGTTCTCTGTCAGGGACATGTTGAGCTTCGACACTACAATGTTCACAATCATGACCTGGAGCGAGGTGATGTGCTACA